CTCATTGTGGCGGCTTCTCTTTGCTGTGGAGCAGGGATTCCAGGGTGCGTGGGCTTCAATAGTTGGAGCAGGTGGATCAGTAGATGAGGCTCCTGGGCTCTAGAGCACAGACTTGGTTGCTGTGAATCATGTGGGATCTTCCCGGATCAGGGACCCGACCCGTGTCTCCCCCATTGGCAGGCAGATTCTTTACCACTGAGCCAGCAGGGAAGCCCTTGGACCATATTTAAATCCAGGTTTGACAATTCCAACTGTTCTTTAAACATAGTATGTTCGTAAGACTTCCAGAGAGAATGCTTAATAGATAATTGTTGAGTTTAATTTGCAGCTTCAAGAGCTGTGGGATTCAAGTCAGATTGCATACCTCTGATTTTGGTTTTGAAGACAAAGAAGATGAGTTGAAAGGAAATAGCAAGATGAGGAGGGTGTGTATGTGTGTGTGTTGCTCAGTTGTGTCTGACTCTTGCGACCCCATGGACTGTAGCCCACCAAATTCCTCTGTCCATGGGATTCTCCAGGCAAGAATACTGGGGTAGGTTGCCATGCCTTTCTCCAAACAAGATAAGGTATTGGTATATAAATAAGGTACCATTGTCATGCTATATTTTGAGGGAAAGACAGACTGAAAAAAATGAAGACTGGAGAATGGGTGGGATTCAAAATCGTTGAGGTTTAACCCAAAGGCTTACATCATGGAGTTGAGAACAGAAGATGCAAGTGAGGAACAGTATGAAACAGAGAAAGATGAGGTGAGCAAACCCACTTTGAACTCTATTTCTTCATGGATCCAGCCCCGGAGATAAACATGGATTTATCATTCTAGAAAAAAAGTGGTGAAAGGGTAGGCCCAAGGTAGGAACTCTTGTGTTATGGAGGGAAGTTCAAGAAACTGTCATTGTTTTTCACCTAAATCCATTCTGAATGTGTCTTACCCAAATACCCTCTATACCCTTTATAAAGACTATCAGTAGCCTATGGTACTGTGTGTACAGATATTACTAGGTATTTGTTCTGGGCATCTTCCATACATAGACAATGCCAGGAAGGATGCTAATTAGTACCAGTTGTGAGAGCTGGTTTGTGGTCTGGTCATCTGTCTCAAAGATCAAGACTGAGAACAGCTCATTCTACATAAGCCTGCTAAGCAGCTGTCAGCTGGCAATGACTAATTTCTGTGACTGGGCCAAATTTGGTGCTGACCCAGGCATGAAAGTCTGCTTTTCCTAGCTCTGATTACTTGAGACATCCAAAGCCCTCTGTATTATTTTTATTGCAAACAGAAAACATGTCTGAATGGTGCATTCCTCAGGATTCAAGTCAGTGTTGTGATGCTTTTGTCTGAGGGGAAGGATGCATTATGTCTATATGACTCAGACCCTCACAGGTACAGGTGCTCATGCTCAGTCGCTCAGCCATGTCCGACTCTTTGTGACTCCATGGATTACAGTCCACCAGGCTTCTCCATGAATGTAGTTTTCCAGGCAAGAATACTGGGGTGGGTTGCCATTTCCTCCTCCAGGGCATAGGAGAGGATTCCCAAAATAATAGATGGGCAGCTGAGTTGAATAGTCATATGTTTACCTTGGCAGCCATTGCTACACCACGTTCCTAGTGGAGAACTGTCTAAGTGTTCCTTGGCTTTCAGTATCTCAGTTATGATTTGTACTGCTAGCAGCAAACTGAGAACTGAGGTCTGCAACATTGTTTAGGGTAGACTTTATTAACTTCATTTTTCTTCACCATTTCACACTCCACCTACTGAAGCGGATACTTTTGCATCCAGGAGCTGCAGTGCCTCTGCAGGTCAGGGAGTTTATTTATCTTATGCTGTCTGATAGCAGTGTTTTCTATGGACTTGGCTGTTAAACAGCTTAGGACAACTTTCCAAGTGTGCCTAACTTAATCCCACAGGAACTAAAAGACACTTGTTGCACAAACCTAGACAGCATATTAAAAAACAGAGATATCCCTTTGCCAAAGAAGGTCCGTATAGTCAAAGCTATGGTTTTTCTAGTAGTCATGTACAGATGTGAGAATTAGACCATGAAGAAGGCTGAGTACCAAAGAATTGATGCTTTTGAATTGTGATGCTGGAGAGACTCTTGAGAGTTCCTGGCACTGTAAGGAGATCTTACTAGTCAATCATAAAGGAAAACAACCCTGAATATTCATTGAAAGGACCCATGCTAAAGCTGAAGCTCCAGTACTTTTGCCACCTGATGTGAAGAGCCAACTCATTGGGGAAAAAAAAAAAAAACGGATGCTGGGAAAAACTGAAGGCAAAAGGAGAATGGGGCAACAGAGGATGAGATGGTTAGATAGCACCCTGGACTCGATGGGCATGAATTTGAGGAAACTTTGGGAGATAGTGGAAGACAGAGAAGCCTGGCATGCTACAGTCCATGGGGTCACAAAGAGTCAGATACGACTTAGCGATTAAACAACAACAACTTAATCCCAAGAACTTAATTAGCTTAGAAGAAATCATTCAATAATTCATTTACTAATTTGTCCAACATATTAAGTACACTGGGTACTGGGAGTATAACTGTAAACATAATACACAAAAATCTCTTCTTTCACATGGCTTCTATTCTAATGTGGGAAGCAGAAAAATAAATGAGATAAAAGATAGATGCACAATGGTAGGTAAGGTTAAGCACAAAGAAGGTAAGATATTTTTTGAAATGCTAAATTAATACCTAAATAAATAAAAGGGTAAGATAATTGAGAATGACAAGGATGCCTTTTAGATAGGAAGTCAGGTAAGACTTCTCTGAGGAAATGACAAGAACACATGTGGATCTCTGTGGGAAGACTATTCCAGACAAAAGGAAAAGCACGGCAAAGACCCTGAGACAAGCAAGTACTTAAAATTGAGGAAGATGAAAACGACCAGAGTGACCAGAACACAGCACACAGAGGAAAAGTGTTAGAGTCTCCAGGAACTAGATCACATAGGGCACACAGATCACGATGAACCGGGAGCTTTTCTGTATGCTAGAGCTGTGCTGACTATGTAGGCTTGTGTGGGTTTATTTTAATTAAAAATATATATATTTTTAAAACTTGAAACCATATAGGCATATTTTTCGAGGCTGAGAAGAGACATGACAAACTGAGTCTCGATGACTTCAATTATATAAATAGTAAGTTGAAATGTTTAAATAAAAACCTAGGCAACCCTGGCTTCAAAGCCCATTCCATCATATTCCATCATAAAGATATAGTTGGAATATCATAGCTGAGTTCACTCTAGCATACTTATTTCTAAGACTATGAACAAGGCAGAAAACCTACCCTTAAAGTTCAGAAAGACTACTGGGACAGAAGACATATAAGCAAATGATTATATTTAATTCTGTGTGATAGAGTAGCTGATGGATGTTTTGAGTTAAGAGCACACAGAAGGAGTTGATTAACTCAGTTTAGAAATTTAGAAGAACCAGGACTACCTGAGTGGTTAAAAAAAAAAAAGAGAGAGAGAGAATGGTGGCCTATCCAGTGCAAACAATATGACATTATGGCACACGTAACCTGAATAGAAAATTTCTGACTTATCACTAGTTTAGAGGCAGGTCTGGAGTTCAGCGTGGTAGCACACATCATCATGTACCCCAGCTGGCTTCTACTGGGTGGTCAGCGTTCTTTCTGATTGGCCAACACAGTGTCTACATCTTAGATTAAGTATCACTCCATAGCGATGAGCATTGAGACCTCAGAGATAAGCAACTGCTGGATCATTGATACCTCACCCATCCATTCTCTGGGCTTTAGTCAGGTGTTGACGGCTGGCACCGAGGGGAGACCAGGAGAGGAATAAGCAAATGGGAAGAAATAAACTCCATTAACATGTTATGTTTTTAATGTAACACAAATAACAGAGCATGTTTCTGAAGATTTTTATTTGCCCAAAATATATTTAGAGTTTTAGAGAGTAAGGAAAATTTAAATGTCTGAAGTGTCAAGGAAGCGCTTTTAAAAATACATTTTAAAGAAAATTCCTAACTCCAAGATTAATTCAGAGTGATTGCCGTACCTCAAAGGATTTGTTAACACTTTTCTCAATGGGAAATTGATGGTTATAGTATTACACTTGAACCTTTCTAGGCCAGTCTTTCTCTGGTGTGTTATCTCCTAAGTATTTCATGATCTTTTGATAAGTTAACGTTATCACAAATTTAGCAATGGGATAATAAAGACTAACTTTCTGTTAAATAAGTAAACATATAATGTATCCTTGCTATCAGTTTACCTTCTTTTACTGTAACATTCTTCCATGTGATAAGATGCCTTGGACTACATGATAAGCAAATATGAAAATTGACAGTGTATTTCTCTGGTCATCAAACTAATTTAAGTCTTACATCTCAAAGATTCATTCTGTTGCTAAAAACCTAGCTGAGAGATTTTTATTTTGTTGTTTATTCCTTTTTAAAATAAAGCTAACTTAATCTAGCTTTCAGTCATGTTCATCATAGTAGACCTCTAAAGTTTAACTAAATGTCTGTCTTAAGCTAAATGTCATTGTGAAAACTTTTTTTTTTGCTGCTACATAAAGATGTGTTTACTTTAAGAAGGGAAAAATTGTTAAACTCAGCTTCTTAAATACAAAAGGATATTTTGACGTGTTTCTATTCTCCCACCTCTGCTCATACCTCACTGAACAACCTCCCCTGTTTACCATGTGCAAAACTACTTCTTATTTTTATTTCAGTTCAAACCCTAAATTAATACATGCTTCCTGCAAAACGCTAAATTATGTTTTCTGAAAACTAGAAAAGGCAAGTCAATCAAGCCTGCCAAAATGTGGACACAGATTCTGGCAGTTTATCCTTGCGAGGGTGGGAAACATGCAACTTAGTTTTGAAACCTTCCCAAGTTTTGCAGTGCTATTGGAAAGTCAGCTCTGCAGTTTTAAATACATTTGTCTGATGAAGCTATGTGGAGAAATAATAATGAAGATTCTGATGTTTATTCTGTTCTGTTGACCATCACAGATCAAAGAACACCTTGCAAAGGGTCAGAGAATGCTGGCAGGTGATGGGATGTCCCAGGTCACCAAGATGCTGCTGGATTTAACTCAGAGGAAAAACTTCTATGCAGGCGATCTTCTGATGTCGGTGGAAATCCTCAGGAATGTTACAGACACCTTTAAAAGGGCAAGTTACATCCCTGCCTCTGATGGCGTCCAGGTAAGGGAGGCAACTCCATGAAGGAATACCAAGTGAGCTTGGGATCACTTATGGGCCTGAGAAGCCGGTATAGCCACCTTGGAGGATTCCTGGTTTGGAGCGGGGCATGCTCCCTCCTGATGGGGAAGAATCCAAGCTGTGTGCAGTGTGAGCTCTGGAAGTGACCCCAATTCCTTAGTCATTCTACCCTTCAGTGTCCTCAACACACATAATGCACCTCAAGGAGAGAGTGAGTAAGAATGTGTGTGAGGTGATTTGAGCTGTCAGCTAAAAGACACTATAGCAAATTCAAGGTTGTAGCATGGATCTTTTTTATTCCCAGACTTAATAACACCATCTTGCCATAGGAGACTATTAAAAGTACATTAAGCATAATGAAAGCACATTGACTATAGCATGCAAAGAAGACACGGCTTAAGTTTTGTTTGGAGTTTTGCTGTTAGAAGGGGGAAGGCCATACTTAATTTTGTGGAATTATTGCCTGAAAATGCCGGGCAAGTAGAGAATTGCCCTGGATAGGAAAATAAGTTCAGTAACTCCTCAACAGCTTGTTTGTCTTGTTATGGAAAACTTCTAGAATGGCATCATTTATTTCCGTAGCACAGTTTAAGTACTCATCCAATTTTAGAATTATCTTTGCCATTAAGACCAAGCTTGTTGAATGGCAAGCATAGCATATTTGATGCAACACTAGTTTGGATTTCGGCTTAAGTCTTCTTGTGCTGTAGGCTAAGATATACTCCTGCCAAGAATACTGAGTTGGTTTTTGAGTGAGTTTTTCTGTTTCCAGCATAATGTTCTTCTGTGTCTCTGCATGAAGTTCATTATCATAAAAGTTTGGCAAAACTCCCACATCAGGTAATTTTCTTTCAGCCCACTCTTCTTTTGGGAGTTTTATTTGCATTTTGCTTAGAGAATGCAGAGGGTGGGCTTTTTGAGTGTATTTGTTTGTTTGTTTGTTTTGTTTTGCTTTGTTTTGACCAGAGATTGAAGGAAAAGAGGAATAGAATGCTTTTTGACATCATGGAATTATTCATAAATAATACCTATGCCCTAATTTGTATGGAGATTCACAAAGTACTTAAATTGTATAAATATCCTGCTCAAAGTAGCTGCAGTAAGAATTAATGGGGCTATGGTATATATAATATTATATCACCTGTGTCCAGGAATACATTTCTTTTTTTTTTTTTCTTTTTTTTTCCATTTATTTTTATTAGTTGGAGGCTAATTACTTTACAACATTGCAGTGGTTTTTGTCATACATTGAAATGAATTAGCCATGGATTTACATGTATTCCCCATCCCTGTCCCCCCTCCCACCTCCCTCTCCACCCGATCCCTCTGGGTCTTCCCAGTGCACCAGGCCCAAGCACTTGTCTCACGCATCCAACCTGGGCTGGTGATCTGTTTCACCCTAGATAATATACATGTTTTGATGCTGTTCTCTTGAAATATCCCACCCTCGCCTTCTCCCACAGAGTCCACAAGTCTGTTCTATACATCTGAGTCTCTTTTTCTGTTTTGCATATAGGGTTATCATTGCCATCTTTCTAAATTCCATATATATGTGTTAGTATACTGTAATGGTCTTTATCTTTCTGGCTTACTTCGCTCTGTATAATGGGCTCCAGTTTCATCCATCTCATTAGAACTGATTCAAATGAATTCTTTTTAATGGCTGAGTAATATTCCATAGTGTATATGTACCACAGCTTCCTCATCCATTCGTCTGCTGATGGGCATCTAGGTTGCTTCCATGTCCTGCCTATTATAAACACTGCTGCGATGAACATTGGGGTGCACGTGTCTCTTTCAGATCTGGTTTCCTCGGTGTGTATGCCCAGAAGTGGGATTGCTGGGTCATATGGCAGTTCTATTTCCAGCTTTTTAAGAAATCTCCACACTGTTTTCCATAGTGGCTGTACTAATTTGCATTCCCACCAACAGTGTAAGAGGGTTCCCTTTTCTCCACACCCTCTCCAGCATTTATTGCTTGTAGACTTTTGGATAGCAGCCATCCTGACTGGTGTGTAATGGTACCTCATTGTGGTTTTGATTTGCATTTCTCTGATAATAAGTGATGTTGATCATCTTTTCATGTGTTTTTTTGCCATCTGTATGTCTCAGGAATACATTTCTAACTGAAAACACATTGCAGGGAGGAGGAGTAGAAGATGCTGTCCTTTGAGCACTGAGATGCTTTTTTAGGCTGCACTTTAGTGCTTGCAGGAAAGATTAAACCCAGGCTCCTGCAGTGAAAGTACTGGTTCCTAACACACTGGGCGAGCAGGGAGCTCCCAGCACTTTTGCTACATTGTTGTTGTTACTCAGTGGCTAAGTCAGGGACTGGAGCACAGCAGGCCTCCCTGTCCCTAACTGGCTCCCAGTTTGCTCAAACTCATGTCCACTGAGTCGGTGATGCTATCCAAACATCTCATCCTGTTGCCCCCTTCTCCTGCTGCCCTCAATCTTTCCCAGCATCAGGGTCTTTTCCAACTAGATGGGGTTCGATCCCTGGGTTGGGAAGATCTCCTGGAGAGAGGAATGTCTACCCATTCTACTATTGTTGCCTGGAGAATTCCATGGACAGAGGAGCCTGGTGGGCTACAGTTCATGGGGTTGCATAGAGTCAGACAGGACTAATCGACTAACACTTCACTGCTTTACAAAGAATGAAACAGTTTTCCAGTTTTAAAAATGTAATAAAGTAAGTCAAGTACAACTTTTCTTCTTAGTTCTGAAATACTTCTATCCATTATCGTTTACATTGTAAAAATTACATGTGAACTCCTTGACATAAAGTACAAGTTGTAATTTTGAACAACGTCAGATTATTGTGTTCACAATGGAAACATCAGGCAGAAAGCTGCACTCAATGAGCTCTTGTGCCTCTTTGTACCATTGAGAATGTAGGGCTTTAATGTTTTAATCGTACTTAAACTACAATTCCTAGGTTGTGTTGGGGTCATGTTGTGAATGAACTTCTCATTGGAGGGCATGGACTCCGTGAACAATTAGTGTAACCAGAGGCTTTGTCGTGGACATCAGCTGGTTTGACTTAAATAGAGCAATGTGATTGTGTTGTTTGATAATGGTCAGAAACACCTTCCTGAGTTTCTGTCCTACTCGATAGGTAGTCCTCGGCATGCACACAAAATCTCAGCAGGCTGCTGTCCTGGTCATTTCTTACATAAAGGAGCTGCTGTCTTGGCTGATGTCTTTCCAGGCACCTGGATGCCTTCTTCTTCTGGAAGTCCTTCTTCATCTCTGCCTGTCACACTCCAGGCACAGTTGCTGCAAGTCTTTCTGGAGGCCAGTCCTACAAGCCCCAGACTTCCTCTGATAATGACCTTTCTCAACTCTAAAATCCCAGGGCACTTTGCACCTCTTTTATTCGACTCTCCACAGACCATTTTACACAAATCCTTCGGATGTCTTTGTTGTCTTTGCTTGTCTTGCCTTACCAGCACCGCCTATGCCTTTACTCCCAGGGGCTCTGGTCACTTGTGGTTGACTTGTCTCATCAGACTTCATATGACATAAACTAAATTCATCATAAGTGCCATGTTCTCTTGCCTTTTCACCTTGGTAGAATTACTGGTCCTTAGGCTGCTCCTGTAATATCATCTGGACTTTTCCCTTCTCTTCCTTTCCTGATGGGTCAGTCAATACTCTGCCTCTTCCATCTGTCTTACGTCTCTCTCCCCACTGCTGTTACCCTAACTGTGCCTTTTTTTCAGGGATCCCAGCCCGCACTGTTTCCACGGCCTCTTTCCTTCCTTCCTCCCTCAGATCTTTCCCCACATCCCCACTCATCATGTACACCATGGCCCTATTGGCTGTCCTTGTTGTTTAGTTGCTAAGTCAGGTGTGACTCTTTTGGGACTTCGTGAACTGTAGCCCGCCAGGCTCCTCTGTACACGGGATTTCCCAGGCAAGAATACTTACCTGGAGTGGGCGGGTGGAATGGAGTGGGTTGCCATTTCCTTCTCCAGGGATCTTCTCAACCCACAGATTGAACCTGAATCTCCTGCATTGGCAGGTGGATTCTTTTACTGCCAAGCCACCAGGGAAGCGCCATTGGCTGTCCTCGGATGGCCATGATTATGTCATGATTAAGTCAGAACCCTTCACCTGGGCTTCAGGGCTGCCTGAAGGACATCCCAAAGCCTGTGCCTTGCCTTCTGGTGTATCCACAGTACCTGGATCACCTGTCTCTCCAGTCGTGAGCATGGACCAGTCTCCCCCTTCACAGACCTAGAGCTAAATCAACCCACTTCCTGCCTCCTGGATGTGCTGTGTTTCTTGGCTCCAGGCCTTAGCTTCCTCTGTGCTTTCAGTTTGGCTTAGTCTGTCTCCATCTTCTAAATTAATCTCTCGGTACTCTGGGCCCCTGTGTTCCAGAAGCACATTTCCTCCTGCATCTCTTTACATCTTGAGTTATTAGCAGTCATGTGTGAATCTTTGCAAAAGAAGAAATAGTCCTGATCAATCTTTGGATCCTAGCCTAGCTCCAAGTCTCCCGCACCGAAATGGTATTTAGCAGATTCTTGACTATTCAAGGTGTTTAGCAAATGTTTGTTGAATTAACAGCAAAATTAATAATTATATAGATACCACTGAGTTTTTATCCTTTTTTTTTTAAACTGGGGAAAGAACAAAGACCAAAGAGATGTTAAGTAAAGCTCTTTAGAGAGAATACATTGTTTTAAGTGTAGTTCTGTGCAAGGCTTTTTATGTAAAATGCCTAGTAATGCTAGATTCAGTAAAAGATCCATACATTGGATCAATCTTGTATCTCCGTTGATACATTGATGAGAGTGAGATAGAGTAGCCACAATCTGTTGAAATTAGGGGGAAAATAAGGTGTGCCTTTATACCTTGGAAGGATAGACCATAGTAATAGTTTTATTTTGGGAAACTGGTTAGTATAAAATTATTCCAAAAGCCTTTTCCCTTCAGGCATATTCTTTCCACACCCTGGGGTTTGGCCTTAT